GCCATCCTGTGCAGCTCGTTGGGTCACAGAGGTGCACAAGCCATCACACCACGTCAAGGTGTAGTCTCGTAGTGATGGTGCATTGCGAATTTGGCAGCGATCAGTTTTTCAGTTTTTACAGCCATTAACCCTGCAATTTCGTGCGCGGTTTTGGTTGCTGTCTTTTGGTGCCCCATTTGGATAAAAGAGTAGAATGAAGATTGGAATGTTAAACGCAAATTCAAGCGGAAGATGGAGAATTCATACACAATGGTGATAGGGGAATAATGAGTGAATGCACGAGCGTCACTGTTTGCGACATCCAGCCATATCACTCAGTATCTCTAACTATCAGTGATCATCGTCCCGAGGTCTCCAGCCAGGGAGCCTATGTGACCTAGTCTCCTGGTTAGGGTTTTCATATTCTCATGCCAGGTCTTAGTTTGACCACCCTTGATCTTTTTCCAACTGCTACCTGCCTTGGCAAACATGCGTAACACATGCCCCAACCAACGTAATCTATGGAGGTCGATCGCTTGTTCCAGTGGACGACCGCGAATGCCTAAAACTCTACACCTAACCTCAGCATTGCCCATCCGGTTATCCCACCAGACTCGTGCAATGCGACGTAGACAGCGGTGTTCGGACACCGATAGTCTATTTTTATCCTGTTCCCGTAAAAGCTAAGTCTCTGCATTGTAGAGCAGGACTGGCCGAACTGCTGCAGCAGACGCTCGACCCTTAACAGACAGCCGGATTTCGCAAAGGCGCCACAGATATCTAAAGTTGGCAAATACCAACCGAGCCTTCTGTATGCGTGCTGACACTTCATTCGTGATGCTTTCACACCATTTATGTTATAATGATAATAATATACCGACGTTGATGTTTGAATTAGTTGTATGTTCCCAACATTCGGTTCCAATATTTGTAGCTATTCCGTTTTGGTCATGCCCCGCCGATCATCTGAATGTACAAAACGCAGAAGTCACGTAAATGAGAAAACAAAAGAAGCGAAACAAGCAAAAGTCGAAAAGCCGCTCGTTGGGATTCAGAATTCCGATCTTGAACCTTGTTTGGATGCCATTTGGCGCGCATTTCATCTTAAAGTTCCCGAGGAATTTATTCTTTTCTATCGGTTCTGCCAGTCTTTGAACAGCAATTCACCACTAGGCAAGCTTATTGTTCACATTGTTCACAATGTTCACAAATAGACGCGTTTCTTGGGCCATTAAGCTTGCAATTGGTTGGACCGTTTGAGTTTATGTTTCAAAGTCCTACCCTACCTGAAGACCTCGAAACCATCCCTATGTGTTACCGGTATTTCCACGATCCCCCGGAGTTGGTAACTATTATGCTTGGCTCAAACGGAAGGCACATAGGCTATTTTAGGTAAGAGTTTCACAGGTTTCATATATTGGTTTTTCTTAAGGGATCGTCCAAACGAAGAACCGATCCTTGTTGTGGAATCCAATCCGAACGAATCTGGAGCTTTGAGAGTGCTTGGCACCAGTATTTTCGCTGTCACAAAGTGATTCATGGAATTGAGGTTCACTTTGACTGTTTTAGATCGTTTCTGAGCGCATTGGCTTCCAGTGAAAAAATTCTCTCATCAATGGATCAATTTATAGAGGAGAGTAAATTCATCCTGCCGCAATCAGATGAAAGTCAGTCCTTTTTGAGTTCGCTCAATGCATTCGTTTTTAGTTATCAAGCAACGCAAAAAGCGCTGTGTTTGTTCCACGCTCAGTGAAATCGGCCTCGTCGTTCCTCTCAAAGGAGATATTGGTTATCGTCCGCTAACCATGACTTATGGTAAGTCATTGTAGCGTCACTCTAATCCCACAGGTATTTTTATTACTCAGTTTACTTTATCTCAAGGTGTGCACTAATAACGAGAATAAACCAACATCTATATCAGTTTAAATTTAATAATAAGGTATTTCAAATTCACAGACAACGTCATTTCCCCGGGATTTTGAAGTTGTTGGAAGTTGTTGTTAAATCGCAATTCATAATTAACTCACAGTTGCTTGTGAGTAGTGGTACGAGGTAATTGATATAGACTTGAACTTACTATCTTTCGTACCTCACCTTCACGTAACATACCCAGTGAATCCTATCAACCGTACACTCAGAAGCACTGGACTTCAGCTTCACTTTGATTACAGGTGATCAGTAGTTTTTTTTGAACAACTATTGACCATGCGCTTTCGTGCGCCGGTTTTGGTTACTCTCTTTTGGCTGTCCCTTTAGATGAACAGTAGGAGAAAGAAGGTTGAAAGTAGAATCGAAGACAAAATTGAGAATTTCGGTGGACTAGTGTTGCAAAAACATTGAGAAGATGCACGAACGCCACTGTTTACGACACAGCCATATCATTCAGTGTCTCTAACCATCGGTTACGATCATCCCGAAGTCCCCATCCAAGGAGCCCAATGGGACTTATATGGCCCAGACTCTTGGTTAGGGTTTTCATACCCTCATGCCAGGTCTTAGATTGACCATCCTTGGCTTTAGACCACTCACTACCTGCTTCGGCAAACCACTCGCCGTGACAGCCTATTTGGTGACATGTGTGACACACACCCACGCGTAACCTATGGAGGTCGACCACTTGCTCCATTGGGTGACCGCGGTTACCTAAAACTCTGCGGCTAACCTCACCATTGCTCGTTCGTCTGTCCCACCAGATTCATGCAATGCTGCGTAGACAGCGGTGTTCAAACACCAAAAGTCTATCTTTATCCTGTTTTCTTAATGGTCAGGTTTCTGCTCCGTATTACAGAACTGGCCTAACTGCCACTGCATACACTCGACTCTTAACAGACAGCCGGATTTCGCGAAGGCGCCACAAATGTCTAAAGTTGATAAATGCCAACCGAGCCTTCTATATGCTCGCCGAAACTTCATCTGTGATGTGTCCGCCGGGTGAGATGTAGCTGCGCAAGTAACAAAACTTATCCACTTGCTCTATGACTTCCCCAGTTAATGAGTCTGGGTACTGAATAAACCCAGTTTTGAAGTAACATTTTACACTTTGGAGGTGCAAAACGCATGCCAAACATCGCTACACTAGCACTCAAACTATCCAGAAAAGCCTGGATCTTCACTTGGCAGCACAATGTCGTCTGCATACTCAGACAGTCTGCCACCTTGGAGTAAATCGGTGCTATTATCATCGCACGAGGGTAGGGCTGTTCCAAGAATTAAATACATGACAAAGGTAAATAGAAAAGGAGAGAGGGCAACCCTGACGAACACCACTTTCGGTGGTGAACTCGGGCGAAAAAGTGTCGTAAGCTCGGACTCGGCTTCGGTTATGAGTACAGAGGGATCGTAATACTGAAATAAACTTTGCGGGCACACCTTTCAGGAAAGGCAGCTCAAGAGTTTAGAGCGGTCGACTGAATCGAAAGCCACTCAGATCCAGGAAAACAGAGATTGTGGGTCTACGGAAAGAATGTCGGTGCTCCAGAGTTTGGCGAAGAGTGAAGATGTGATCGATACAACGACGACCAGGCTTAAAACCAGCTTGGTTCTCATCCATGCACCGTTCATATGCGGCAGACAATCGACGGACTATGATGCCAACGAGAGGTTTAGAAACAGTGTTAAGTAAACTAATTCCTCTGTGGTTTTTCACAAGAAGACCTGTCACCTTTCTTGTAAATCGGCGTGGCCAGCGATTCACACCATTCCGTTGGAACCTCTTCCGTTTCCCATATTGGGCCCAGGGGTTTCGTTAACTCCGAAACCAAGGCTGAACCTTCATCCTTAAAAACCGATGGGAACAGGCTGCTGGGCTGGAGGCCTTGTGCCGTTTGAGAAAACTTATTTCCTGCGAAAACCTCAATTTCAGATGGAGGACTGATGTCAGCTGGGTGTATTTGCCCAGTCAAGGTGGAGAGTGATAGTTCAGATGTCGATTGGGGCCAGTTGAACTGAGCCGTGAAATATTCAGCCCATCGATCAAGACGGCGTTGCGGATGGTGAATCAATGTACCATCAGGTTCCTTTATTACTTCGCTCACACCTGTTTTCCTGGTGCCCGTATTCCTATTTGGGCTATTACCAATGGTCGCAGCTTTCTTCATCTCTTTACACTTTTCTGTCCACCACTTCTCGCGGTCATTTTTCAGACTTTCGATGAGTTGGCGTTTGAGGGATTTGCGCGCTGTCATTTGTGGCATCGGGAGGTAGTGTTCTGCAGCATCCAGTAGGCAGCTGAGACCGACGAGATCCATCACTTGTGATTTGAGCTTGCGACAGGGTCTGACGTTTTTACGGATATTTTGCATAGCTTCCTTGATTTGCTTCCAGTGTTCATTGAGTCCTTTGGCTGATGATTGAACTGACAGGCGATTGGAGAGTTCCGCTTCGAAGGCCGAGTTGCAACAATCGCTGACGCTGTATCGCGGGTATCCGCCTCGATGGCTTTTCTGCGGTTGTTTACCAGTCGTAGGGAGAATCCTGCTCGTGGCAGAGCATGGTCCGTGTCCACGGGTATTGATCAGTAGGAGCGGCAGTCCTCAATGGATCAACGCCGGCGGTGGCTAGTGGCGATGTTATCGATTTGAGTTCAGCGTTGTGAAGGGGTTGGTGGTCTCCATTCAAGTCGGTGTCGTTTCTTGTGAAAGAAGTTCGTGCTTGACAGAAACAGTCCGTGGTCAGCGCAAAGTTGGAGCAGGCGTTCTCCGTTGTCAGTCCTGTTGGTTGGGATTGCATGTAAACCACGAAGAAGCCTTTGTGATTCGTCCAGGGATCCCACTTGATCATTGAAGTCCCCGGCGACTAAACCGATATCCGTTGATCGAGCACTTTGGAGTAATTGTGAAAGGCCCTTGTAGAATTCATCTTTCATTCCTGGCAAACCGCAATCGCTCAGTGCATACACTGATACGACGAACAAACGTCGACACATAGTTCTGTAGCTGTTGACTCGTGCTAAGCCGTTGAGACGTACAGCGCACAGTCGGCTACTGACTGGAATCCAGTCAAGAAGCGAGGCCTCAGCTTTAGCACTTAGCGCAATCCCAACACCAGCAACATCGCTAGCTTCGGATACCGAATTGCCTGACACACGAAGGGTGAAGAGTGAGGTTGAGGTTGGGTCAGCAGAACACAAGGAGACAATTAAAGAAGGGTCTTGTATGCGTGTTTCGGAGACACAATATACATCTAAATTGAAAGTTTCAAGGGTTCTAGCCAAGACAGCCTGTTGACCAATCGGATAGAGTGTGTGGACATTGAACGCGACCAAGTAAAGAGAGAGTTTTGGTTTCAAAAATCCCGTAACTTCTGATTGTTTGGCCTTACTGATAAAACCATGATTGATATCTGATGGGTCTTGTAAACAGGAGGCGTTTGGGATTACTCGGGATTGAGAGGAAAGGCTAAACAGATGGGAAGGAGGTTTTCCCAAATGGGTGCCTAAGATTTAAGGGCACGGCATACTTCGCGCAGCCCACACCGACGAATAGGTTTTTCTCTGGGAACCCTAAGGAGAGCGTTTGACTCAAAAGTTTAACTCACAAGGCAGCGGGAATTTGTGGGTATTTGTTTGGGAACCCTAACCGGAGCCTTCTACTCAAAAATCTGTCCCACAAGGCAGTGGGGCGTAGATCCAGTGCGGGAGCGTTACCGAAGCACCAGTGCGGGAGCCTCTAGGGACTTATGCAGCAAGTCGTTGAAATCGCAGAGGTTTTTCACAAGTATCCTGCAGTCAAGTTCTGTGACATGATCTCAGTCTTTCAGCAAAGCGACCGTTTTGCGATTCAAACGTAAAATCTCCTTTGCGCTATCCTCCATAGAGGTTACGCTGACGGTCAGTTCCTTGATGGCATCAGTGTTTAGGAAAGTATATGTATTAAACTAGTAACTTACTTGCCATACACTCTCGTCCCCTCAACGTTTCATTCTTGAACTGAGAATGTTGATAAGGTGAATGACGTTGACTGGGTGACATTGTAGTCAAACTGTAGACGTGTTTGCGTTACTGATATTCTTTGGTTACCTTTTCCCACTTCCGTGTGGTAGCCGACTGGTCGAGGTACAAGAGTGACAAGTTAGAAGTGCTAATAACTTACAAGGCAATATTCTCTTTGTCATGTTCCCGCTGGTTTCCAACAAAAGCCCTTTATCAGGTGATCTGTGTTTGAACAGGTCATCTAATGGATGAGGCGTCGCGGAATCGTTCATGTCTACACTGGACGTTCCAAGTATTTGTATTTATATAGGCTTTTGCGTGAACAGATGACCGCATTTCAGTCAAAAATTACACATCTCATTAAAGGAAGGAAATAATATGAGTAAAAAAAATCTAACCTCCAAGGTTGTTGAGAAATTCTGAAGAAACACTCTGTTCGTTTACGAGGATTCTGGCGAAATAGGGAACTGGGGAATTTCTGTAGACGTTAATGCGAGACGGTAATAATCGATGTGTAGAACGCGTAGATGAATGAGAGCAGCACTTACTTAGATCGCCATGTAAAGGATTAGTGGGGTCAGGGAAGATTTTCTGCGCAACTTTTTCACTAGCGAACAAGTGAAGTTCACACAATTTTTAGATAGATCATCAACGGGTATAAAAGACACATGACTGATGATCGACAAACCTCGACGAAGAATTGTGAATTCTTTCTTGAGTAGACCAGCCAGAACCACCGGGGAAAAATAAAGAGGAACGGGAAAAACACAATGACAAACAAGAAGCGAAATGACTTTTTGTTAGGCGTTGAACTTCCTAAGTTTTCGCAGAAGGCATTATGAATGGCGGGGAAGATCTTCCCGTTGGATAGACGACAACAATTTTCTGCAATGTTTTTTCAGAGTAATACGAATCAGGTCGTCCTCCTGTTTGGATGTACTCGATATACGGCCCCCACAAGCTTTTCGGGTTGTTGTTTTCCCATGGATTATCCTGTCAATTGTGCTTTTGTTAATGCTAAAGCATTGGGCAAGATGTGATATGGACAATCCCAGCTTGTGTGCTCGTGCAATTCTGTTTCTGTNTGTCCTTTTCACTGAGACGACGGGAACTTTTGGGTTCAAGCGCTGCTTGCTTCATTATGGTGACAAAAATACGAACATTCAAAGCTGTGCACAAAAGATGACCTTGATTTCAAGGTTGACTTTGATTGAGGTGGTATTTCTCGAATTGATTGAGTTAGATATCAAACATAGATTATTGTTATGAAACCTTATTTAATGCCATTTCTCTGGGTTGTGAAAGAATTTCATTTGGTTATCCAATAGCGTTGCTGTAATGGATTATACATTAGATAAAATAATGCCTCATTACAAATAAGGGAAATGGCAAGTGTTGAGGGAAATAATTTGGGATAATTCCTGAGTCATTCTTATTAGAAAGTATTGCGTCGTCATACTTGATACAGTTTGCGATTCTCATGTTCAGATCATTTATTCTTGGCACTCAAGGTCAGGCACGTTTAATTGACAATCATGCAGCCCAGAAACTACGTACATCGAAGTAGACAAGGTATAAATTATTGTCCATACCTAAAGCATTAATATGGGTGATAAATATAATCAAACTCCCTTTGACCGTAAAGAAAATATTCTATTGCATCACAATCGGCCAGTACTGTATATCAATTACCTCGTACCACTACTCACAAGTAACTGTGAGTTAAATGTGGAGAACGATTTAAGAAGAAAGTTCACGCATAGTTCGACATCCCGGGGAAATGACGTTGTTTGTGAGTTGGCGAAAGAAATGATAGCTCCTAGCACCATCGGTCTTTCGGTGATGTTTGGTGATGACCATCGGCAGCTGAAGGCTTTTTCACTAACTTTTCTACCCTCAGTGCTGAACCGGTGGGTCTCGTGAACATGTTCTGTGCTTTTCTTTATTGCTGTAATGTGTGCAATTGGTTGCCCAATTCAACGAATCCCGCGGTAGTCATTCATGTAAAACTTTTTAGCCATGCCGTGTTAATGGTTCAGTAGTTGACTAAAAATCGGGATGACTTACTTCCCATAGGTAGCAGATTTATGGCTATGTGCGATTTGTGTAGAAGTGAACGATATTATTCAAGATCAAGCAAACTGAGTACCCTCTAGAATCCACTGTTTTTTTGAGGTACACCATTCGACAGATGTGATCACAACATGTCCAGTCTACTTAAGACTTTTTGGTTCGTCCTTACGAGCCCCAGGGGTTAGGTTGTTTATTGTTTTTCTGAAATTTTGTACATTTGGTTCTTTTCCTGTGTTCCTTATCCATAACTATCACCGTATTTTGTATAATAGTTAACCGCATGTTTCCACTAGAAGTATTCACCCTTACCATGATAAAACAGCTGGTGTTTATCCACATGGAAAGCCACAATGTTTGTGTTTTAATTGATTGCCTTCCTCTGCTCACCTGTCACAACTGCAATGGCTTGCCTTTGCTTAGCCAAACTTATTAAGGTTCTCCAATCAGCGATCAACGCACCGAATGAGGATAAACAGCTGTCATGCTTGGAGCCGATTGACGAGTTGATCACCCATTCTCAGTTCGCCTGCGATGAGGGCGATTTTGGTCAAGCCATTGAACTTGGATTATCTTTGCTTGCCTTCCATCCAAAAGGTTCGTTTATCAACGTCTTTTATTTTGATACCTATCCCATTAGTAAACATAAACACATGGTAGAAGGCACATGCTGTGGCATGTTATCCTTCATGTCTGTCCAATTTTGTAGTGTTTTGCTCAGTGACAAAATTAAGTCAAATTCACATAGTAGAATCTGGCTGTTTTTGGTCGAATCGAATATCAACCAATAAACACGTCCATTCATCACTACATAAACCGAGCAGTAGTCCAACGAAAGACTAGTGAAGATTCACTGTCTAACACTGAGTTACTGTGTGTCATAAACGCCCAGTTGAAGCTACTACTGAATGGGTGTAACGCTGAGCGAGTACATCGATAGTTGAAAAATACACGGATGAAAATCCGTGATCAATTTTAGCTGCACTTTTGCATTACGTAGTCGTTAGTCGCACTCATTATTTCCCTGGACCAATATCCGGTATGTTTACGCTTTCTCATCGTCCCAATTTACAGCGAACTGATTGGAGCACAACAACAGGTTAATCTAAACAGACCGATCTACAGATGAATACTATCGACGTATTCTTGAATTTCGAAATTTTCTAGATTGGTCCATACCTCATTATTATACACTTCGTAGTGATGAACAACAGTAGGGATAAACCTAACAGTCACTTGAATCCTGTCCAGTTATCGGAATGGACAACACGAGCCATGAGGATTAGAGTGGTGCACCACGTAAGGTCCTGTTCGATCAAACTCTTGTTTTGTTATATTCCTTTTCCCAAACATTTCCATTCACCTTTTCTCGCTCCTGTCGTACAGTTTGATGCTGAACAAAGCCCGTTTCTTTGTCTTCTCTCGCTATCGAATCGCTTTTCATTTCAGGTGTCAGTAGGTTGGGATAGGTGTGGTATTGAGTGAAGCTGCTCACTACCAAAGTTGGATGGACACACATTAGATTTTCAGGTTGATTTCTCGTTGATGCACCCTCGATATCTGATTGCTGTTTTATTTTCGTTCCAGATAGCGGCTCCATTTCATTTTATTTTCACCTATGCATTTCAGGGCTACCCGTTGATCGTGCGAACTGTTTGAATTCCCGAATCAAACATTTGCTTTCGGTTGGCTATGAACTGGCAGGCTATCCGGAATTCGTCAGCGTGATTGTGCAGCACATGCGCGATCGTCGAATCGATCCACCCACTCTGAAGCATATTATCTCTTTCAGTTAGCATTAACCTGTCAGTCCTTTGTTGAAACCGAGATTTGCACTATGGAGGTCCATTTGTGTACCTTTTGTAATATGCCATCCAGATAACTATTTTTAATACAAATTTCATTCATATTCTGTGCTTTTTCTACGGAGTTCGAGTACAGTAAGTTGTCGGTGGTGTCGTTGATTTTCCTTATACTCCTCAGGATAGGGGTTTTCCTTGTGGTTGGATGCAGTGCCTGTTAACGGTGGAAGTATATGCTGTGGTGTCACCGAAGTGCTTTGAGTTATCGATCAAAGCTTACCTCAAGTGTCCCTTGCGCCTAATCAACTGCGAATCAGTTGTTAGGGCGCCAGGAAATAGCGCTGAAACCAAACAATAACCAACACCTCAGAAACAACCACTCAAGAAGAAACCCTCGTAAAAGCACCACCAATCTGTACAAATTTAAGAGAAATGAGTTAAAGGATCACTACGTGGGATTAATCCATCATAGATATTTCAGTGATAGAGTGTAGACGTAGCCCGCAAAACACAGAACGTCAACGTCGTTGTCTGAACTGAAGAAAAACATCGATCAACTCATTTTCAGCCTACAGAGAAATTCAGTGGAGCGAACTTTGCTGATCACAACCAAACTCACTAACTACCAAACAGAATTCGGTACGCGTTTAAATTTATCCCCGATAAACTANATTTACCTCCGGAGTACCAACCCGTTCATTCTATTCCACCTGCGCCAAACTGCGCAATTATCGGTAGCCGAAAACGTCTGATCGATTCCACCATAAAACAGAAGTGAACGAACGGCGAGGCAGAATACGTGACTTTTCAACTTGAGCGAAACGTCACGTCATTTCAACAGGTTCTTTAGTCCTGAATGCGCTGCTCCTGCTCGTTATTTCCTTTGCCACGTTATAGTCATTCGTCATACAGCTTCCCATGTGGGAGAAACAATCGATTATAACATTCCCGAGTATTTAGTTTAAAAGAGGAATTAGTCGGCGCCCAGTTTTGTGGCAATGCTTTGCAAGTTAAAGTTCCAATGTGGGTGTTGAGTGGAGTTACAGAAATTATTAGTCCGTCAAGTGCGTGATTTACATGTCATCCAAACGTTCGAGCAAACAGACTCTAGGCCGTAGAGCTTTCTTCTAGCTGTCCACTTGATGACCATATTTTGAAAATCACTGTGCGTTCTTTAGCATTTCGTATACGACGAAATTGAAATTGAATGACGTCATAAGGTACTACTTGGCTAACCGCAGATGGCGACGAACGAGCTATAGGAGTTATAGAGCCTCACTGGGTAAGAGGTAAGAGGAGTGACTTTAGTAAACCTAATTCAGTTACAGAGTGCTCCGAAGACAGTCTTTTTCGACTTTCAATACCACTGTTTACACCTCGGCAAAAGCAGATCTGTATGCTACCGAGCGTGTACCCAGTGATGTATGGAATACCCGGTAGGAGTAGCACCTCTGACTCGGAGGGCTGTCGGCCCCTTTCGGGCATCATCCGTTCGTTGATCTCCACCAGGCACTCAGCTCTCACCTTTGGCTCCTAGAAGATGTTTGGATGCAACAGCGGCCACACTCTGATAAACTACTCAACAGGCGGGCCAAACCAGATTATTAGTCGTAGTACTCGATGATGTGTTGGGTTTACCACATGGCAAGGATTCTCCACACAAAACACCAAATGTATCTTTTGACAGCGCTGTTAGGTGGCGAGTGTGACCCGCCACTGAATGTGGCCATTGCCCTGTTGTCGGGTTCTATCTACCCTACAAGGTTTTCCACAGGAGGCGAATGAACCAAACAACCGGTTACCAAATAACTCGGAGCAGTACTACCTACCACCTTGTAGTTCGCATATGGCTGCACAAAGACCAGAGTGCACTCTCTAACAAGGCATACTCTGGCCGACCGAGTAGTAAAACACCCAACAATGTACACAAAATGAACTATGAACTTTTCTTGTCCTACAATTGGTGTCCACAGCTTTCCTCATTCACAGAAAATCGTTCTACTCCGCACATATCTTCCTGTTTTCCAATTTTTCCTCCCCCTCATCACTAAAATATTTCCAATTCCATCGGGGTCTTCAGAAGATCTTACTGACAGTTGTGCCACAGATAGCAATAATGCCTCAATTATCGTCTTGCCTCGAATAGCATCCAATTATCACCGGATCCTTTTTCACTGGATGATGCCCTCTCAAACTAACCACGTATAAAGTGCGCATTCTGATGTGTATAGGATAACAGGCCTGTTTAACTTGTACGCTCGAGATCCTAGCCATTGATGTGTATTGAGTTCAAGAAGCTCGTACTATCCGATTGAAGTCCTCATCAAGCCCATCTGCGAGGTTTCACTGACACCTTTCTGGGAACCCTGCGGCTGCAGCGTTTAGTCTTGCTGGCGTCGGTATGGCTCTCACTGAGAGAGCTGAAGCAGCACGCTTAAAATCGATCTCAGTCTACCGTCGATTATGCGCAGTGAGTATTTCAGGTTCGTAGAAAGTAAGTAGTCGTATTTGTGATGACCGACAAAGAGCGTTGGACAGCTGTTTCATCCTGTTTACCAGTCGTCAGCAGTGCGTACTTTTTGTTTTCGCCTCAGGACTGGAACCGCAAACATTCAGATCGGGACTTCAAACCCTTACCCCTAGGCAGTCTTCTCTTCGTAAGATGCAACTTATTTGTCGTCTCAGCTTAAGGTGAGAAAACCCAAGGGTTTCTTCGTGAGACGCTCAATCAGACTCGGGTCTCTGGATAGCATGTGCTTATGAGCTCTGTACGGTTCTCGGGGCTTCCCGTCTGCCTTAATTATATTCTGTAACGAGTTTCTGAAATGAAAGGCGACACGTAGGTTGATGAAGTAGATCGTCGTTGGTTGTTAGAGCTTGCAGTAGTGTTCTGAGATCATACAGAGGGTAAATTGTCTATCAACGTATTCCTTCCTGTCATGACAACCTGCATTGGTTTGCTCGGATACCTGCTTTTATTGCTCCCGAGGAGAGAGTGGACAGTATCACAGTGAGCGTTTTGGTAAATGTGTCCATGTTACAGATATCCAGATTGTTCTCACATCCTCTTAATACCACTTTCGTACGAACAGAGAAATAAAGACAGGCAGTTTCGCATGAAGGTCACCGTTTCTCAGATTGAAGTACAGTTATTGACCAAACTCGTGCAACATCCTAGTTTTCATTACATTTGTTCCTCTCAATTCTTTATTCTTCCAGCCTCATTCACGGGATTGAATATGATGTTGCCCCACATCAGATGCAACATATCTGATGTAATATCCACTTGTGTCACTGCTTCTATTAGCCGCATGCCATTAAAATGTACAATTTCGCGATTTCAATGATTTTTGCTAATGCATCAGTTGCAAGATAACAAGGTCAGAGTAGAAAACCTAACTGTAATTTATTTATTAAAATGACTCATAGACTTTATACAGGTATTGGTAGGACAGATTAAGTAAGAATGTAAAACAGGATATGAATATCCTTTTGGAGTGTCGCCTCTCCTGGGGTCTTCAAGAACTACAGTTTACTCATAACCTAAGCAATGTACACTCGTCCCGGTGACGTATAGTTGATTCTGTTTTGTAGCGAACTTTTAACTCCCGCTGGACGATCGGGTCACCCAGTCGTATGACGGATCCTCTGGTCAAATCGTTCGCAGAATTTGAGCAATATCCCTTTGATTTCTTCGGTTAAGTCGCCCTTTAGATAGCATGCCAAGATACACATTTTTCCTCAAATCATGTACCGTCAGGTGTGAATATTCTATTATGCAAACAATATCACATTCACTGCTCAGTAAAAGATACTGCTTGCGTTAGATACATAACCAACATTTGATGAGTTGAGTTGGTTTTCAAATATTTTATCGGTTAAGAGTTTGTCTACTAGTGTCACATTCAGTAGGCAGACTAATTTCATGAAATTATCACAGAAGTCGACCGCAGCCGAAACATCGGGTTTACTACACAATTTAGGTAAATTCGGCTGAGTTGTTCCTGCGATAGTTCAGCTGCAGTCAAACTACCTTAATAAAATATTAGATTTCCATTACGAATCAAGTAAACTACTCGGAGTGTCAAAATTCTTCAAACATTATATCTGTTGAGATGCAGCGAAATCGTCCTGGACATAAATCGTGCAGTATTGCCATATGGTCTTTTCTTTTGAAATTAATCTCGGGAAAGGCTTGTTTCAATTTTTAATTTATGTTGTGTTCGTTTTTTATCTGGTTTGGGTATCAGTTTTGTGTGTAATGTTGCCAACATTTGTCTCAAATTTGAAGCGATGCCAGACGGTTGCCACAATGATATCGTATCAGTTTTCTGTAAAGAACGGAATTGCTGAACAAGTTCAGAATGAAGGGTTGACACTTGATGATATTTTCCGCACCAATTTCGCCCCAAAATGAAAAGGAATCCTTATTACAACAGACCATGTTTAGTGTGAGTAGCGTGCAAGATAGTATTCATCATCAATCGATGATCTGGAACACTACCAAGGTGAAATGCATCTTTGAATTAAGAGATACCCACCGTCGGTTGCGTAACCAAACAACATTTATTTCGTTTGATGTAACCAGTTTTATCAGAGTGACCTTCGTTCCATCAAATTAAAGTGTGGAAAAAGAATAATTCGATTCTAGAAGTATCTTTATTGAATGCAACAGGGATCAGACTAGTTTCACTATGGTTTGTGCAGATGTTCTGGGGATCCGTTATATAGACAAAAACTACAACTTTTTCTTTCTTTCGAATGGATCCATATACGCTGGAGCAGCGTGCTTTTAGGCTTCTCTTTAATTACCTTTTGCCACGTTCAGATAGGCCTGGGGGAAGCCCATCTGAATCTGGGCCCTATGGCGCTGCATCCCCTGGATTTGTTTGTGGTTTTCCGATTCTGTGTCGGGATCAACGGACACCGGGTAACGAGCACTGCAACTACGGAGTGATGATCCTGGTGCGTTAGGCTAGCTATTTCACCTTGAG